TAAATTCAATTGCAAGGATTTTGAAATTTTACTCAAAAAAATTGGTGCTAATATCAACAATTATACAGATCTTTATGAACTTGAGTTTGCAGAAGGATGTCTAATTTATCTTGCAACCAATCTTTCTGATTTTTCAAATTTGGAATGGGACTATTTACTTGAACATGGTATATTAAACAATGTTTGGAATGAAAAGATTGTCTACATTCTGGGAAGGTATGCATCAACATTAAAACCTCTGGATGGTATTCTATCAAAAAACCGAAAAATAAAAGAATCTTTTGGTTGGTTAACACGAGTAACAAATACCGACAATAGTGGTAATGAGCAACAACAACAACAACAACAACAATATACGACGCGTATACTGGTAACGCAACCTACCCTTCCCATACAAATGTTAAATGAATTATCTCAATGTATCAAAATAAAAGCTAAAAAACAAACATGTAATTGAAATTCAAAAAGATTGCTACATACACACATTTTTCATTTACGCGTTACCCGTGAGCAACGGTAAACGCATTTGTTTTTCATCATTTTTCAATATTAACATGGCTGAGAACAGAACTTGACGAAAGAATATTTTTAATGTCAGCATAGCTAGTTGCTGTTAATCGATCAAATTCTTTACCCATATTATTGTAGTATTCATTGATATATATTTTGGTTGTTTTGATGTGTTTATGACCTAACCAATCTTTAATTATGTGTATGTTTTTGTGGTGTTCTGCAAGTTTACGGGCTATCTGATTTCGAAACATGTGTATACCAAAACCTTTAGGAGCAAAAAAACCGTTTGCCTTGTAAAACTCTACATGCATTCTATTAACTAGGGTTGATGGTCCGGAAACATCGAAAATACTTGTATTTAACCCATATCTAGAGAAACAGGTTACTTTATCTGTGTACAGGACAACCATTGCTTGAATAAATTTGTTAAAACTTTCATAGTAAACTGGTTTCCAACGATTCAATGGCATATCTGTACTAGTTTTGACTCCTTTCCTGTTCATAGGGAATTTATGTTTTTCGTCTTCTTCTTCTTCTTCTTCTTCTTCTTCTTTCTCCTCCTGCTGCTGTTGTTGCTGCTGCTACTGCTGATGATGATACTGATGATGACGATGTTTGTTGTGATGGTGGTGGCGGGAGTGTTGATGAGCGTAGTGCCGAACGCAATGATAATTTCATAATCTTATTATCCGCTATCGGTGTATCTATTTCTTCTGTTATTGTTCGCTTAATGCCTCTTTTTCGATCAAATGGGAAAGAAGATTTTGTTGGCCCATTAACGTGATTAATTCCTGGCGGTTTGTTAGCATTCGATGTATCTTTACGTACAATATCAACAACCCGGTGTTTATTCGCTAATTGTGATAAAACCTTTGTATCTAGTTGTAATATTTCCATACTTCGAAGTCCAGTATAAAAGGCAAATAGTAATGGTGCTGTATAGGTTCCCCAATTACCCTGTAAATGGTTAACAAATTTGGTGAATACAGTGTCATTCAGAGAACGTTGATGAACGTTTTTCGTAAAATATAGATTATCCGGTACAAGCAAAACATTCTCACCAAATAACCCTAAACGTTTTGCTTCATTGAAATATTTTCGCGTTGTGGCTAGTGCATAGTTACGATATTTACAGTAACCAATAAATGTTGCCATTCGAACCTGGTAATTAGATTCTTCAAGTAAACCTAATCGTTTACAGATATCTACTATGATTGTGCTTGCTTTTGACCATTCCAAGCAGCTTATGTGGCCCCTACTATCAGAAGACCGACCGTTTCGAGGTGAGAATCTCTTTTTCCGTAAACAATCGAGTAACTCTTCTGACAAATTAGAGTCAACCGAAGAACAGTTCCTATTCAGAAATGAATTGATTTCTTGTTCGTTAACTGTCAACACCATGCTTATCGCACCAGTTATATTAAACTCATGAATGGTAACAATTAAACTCAAAATGTTATGGGTGATTACGTTTATTTACTTTACAATTTCTGTGGTAGCACTTATGTTCTCATCTGATGGTTACATCAACACTATTATAAGAACATATCAGGCTATGAGCCAGCACCCATGGATTACTCGTTTTCACATTGGTAGAGAGTTTTACCAGCAGTTGGCAGAACAACAAAAAACTCCAACTCTCCCATTAACATCGGTAGGATCACACTCACCATCATCCACATCCACCATGAGACATGAAACAACAAAGGTATGAGGTATGAATTATCACTTTGCACCTATTATCTATGAATCTAATTGTGCATATTTTACATCAATCCCATGATGATGAAATAATCCCACAAGTCTCACAAGGTTAAAAAATAGCGGGAGAGTTTTGTTTTGCTGCTGCTGCTGCTACTGTTGCTGCTGTTGCTGCTGCTATTACATATACACTTTTATCAATCCCTCTGTCTTGTGTTTTCTTCTTTGGCGTTAACTTTTGTAAATTTTTTTCCTCTCCCTCCCTCGCTCTCTCTCTCTCTTTCTTTCTTTCTTGTATGAGTTTGTTGACTTGATGAATTGTTCTGCTACATTTGACTGTTCTGTTTGAATCATGCAAATACATTCTTTCAGTTTATCATTATCAAATGTAATAATGATATTTTAATTATTTATAGTATAACAATTTATGGTTTAGTCACTGAGCATCTAAATATCTTTATAAAATAGACGAGTTCTTTATACTTTAAATTTACAGTAACACAAAAAATCTAATCAACCCTACCTAACCATTGTTCTCATAACAATAAAAACAAATCACATACAGTCATGTTTATGTATACATCGATATTACCTGGTAACTTAGCATCTCTTCAATTAACTCTGTGTTCATATGCAGCATTGGTTGTAATAGTAATTCCTATTCATCGCGTATGTTTGCATCAAATTGTCGATGCAACTGACATAAGTTACAATACCAGTGCTATCAGTGATGGTAGTAGTAGTAGTAGAAATAGTCTAACCATCAACAGTAATCATAATGATGATCAACTGATAGTACAATCATCATCATCATCATCATCATCATCATCATCATCAGTATCGTTTCCATCTTCATCATCAACTTCAGCTGCTTCATTTCTTTACTGGTCATCTAAATCAGCACCAAAATATTACGTTAAAGTTGGTAAACCTTTGCGACTTGAATGTTCTGTAAAAGGTCGACCCATGCCAAGGGTTTACTGGTTAAAAAACAATGTACCAATCAATCCTTTTGATCCACCTTCATCATCAATGAGAAACCATTCTGACTTTCTGACGTCATCCGGTATGGCTTTAATTAGTGCTAAATACGTAATACCAATGGTTAGTAGTGCAGATCATGGAACCTATAAATGTGTTGCAGTTGGCGCTGGTGTTTCTCTGGTAGCAAAAACTTGGGTTATAGTTGGACCTGTAAAAGGACCTGAATCAAGGTTGGAAAATTTTGCAACTTTTTGTCGGATCCAGGAAATGCGAAGGTCACCAATGATAGTTGCCTGGTCATATTCAACAATGGCACGAATAGGAGATCTAGTGGTCCTACAATGTCAACTCCGTCAACCAGCTGAATCACGAATAATATGGTATGATAGTAATGGTCAAAGAGTATCAAATTACTTTTACAACAAAGATTATGGAAACTTGAACAACCAACAACAGCAAACAAATGGTAATGCGCAAATGTACGCTGTAAACCGGTACAATGGTGATCTATTGATACACAATGTATCCACACACAACATGGGCAATTACATCTGTACTGCTGACAATAAATATGGAAAAGATAGCATTCAATCTTACCTTTTTCCAGTTTAAGGTTACACCTACACCTACATCTTCTTCTTCTTCTTCTTCTCTTTCTGTCACTTCCTATGCCTTCCTTTTTTCCTACCTTTTTCTGTTTTACTCTTTTCCAGCTGTCTTTCCGCTGACTGCTGATAAGCTACAAACATTTGAACGGAATCTCTCCAAAGAACTAGCAACTTGTGACAACAAGTTTTAAAGTAAAATAATCACTGTGATTTTTGGCATTTATGTACATGTAAAACTTGTATACAATATAAAACAAACACGTGCACGTTTACTGGACCCAGTGCTTTAAGTTTTCTGTTTGTTAATTTTTTGCATTCTTCATCACATGAAACATCACATGAAACCATTTATTTTGTAAAACAAAATTTTGCATTTAGTTGTGTGTGTGTGTGTGTGTGTGTTTTTTTTGACCAAGACATCATTACGATACATGTATATTTGCCGGAAATTTGCTACTCTATAGTGCACTTTTAAACTTTGTTGATAAAACAGCATGATATTAACAGTAAAATTTGAATAATAGAAGTTTTTCTTTTGCAATTTTTGTACCTTTGCATTATATATATATAAATGTTACTGATTGCATATACTTTAAAAGGATCTCACCTGTAACTTAATCAACTGCAAAAAAAACTGTCAAAACGCAAAGGAGTTTGGGGAATTTTTCTTGCGTTTTTTTGTATTTATGTATGCATTGTATTTGCATTATACTTGCCTTGCGTGATAACCTTTTTTATTTTCAGTGTCAGCCTAGTTAAACTTTGCACAATGAAACATAATGCTCCATTATTGTTTGTTACACGTTGCATGTTCGTATTGACTTTTATTGCCATCGAATTTGGAACATGGCAAATTTCTTGTAACAGACTGTTACTTCAACGGGAACCGGAAAGATCCCAATTAGGATCATTTCGAGTAGGTTCAAATCAAAAAATGATAAACACCAGCAATAACAATAACCTTAACAACAAGAACAACAGTCAAACTCTCATTCTTAACCATACTGTATTATCAATGCATGTCAATGATACAATGCAGAGTGCAACACATGCAAACCTAACCGGAATCAATAGCAATCATCGTGATATCGTCATCAATAAAAGTATCGAACTAAATACTAACAGCAGTCAACAACAACAACAACAACAACAACAAAACAACATTTTTTAAAATGGGTAAATTATCCAGATCCAATGAATGAAATTCAGGCTGGTAGTAAATTTCAAATTGAATGTGCTGTTATTGGTTCACCACCACCAAGGCTACGATGGGTACTCCATCGCAAAAATTTACCTTTTTTCGAATTTATTCCTGAAAAGCTTAATAGACCAGATGCTCGCTCTTTTTGTGCTGATTCAAGTCTTGTGAAAGCAAAATTAACAATTCCTGTTTTTACCTGGGACGCTTGGCATGCGTATAGTTGTATCGCAGATAATGGTTACTCACAGCTAGCAGCACCAATTGAAATTCACAGCATAACAGCACCTGGCCCCCTTTCTGCATTGAGCACAAAATACAAATACAAACGAGATGATGTGTTACACGAAAGGGTTGACTTTAAACCGGAAATAGTATCATGGACATCGATTGCAACAGCAACACTTGGACAACCATTGCTTATACGATGTCGACATAATGGTGCTCCAGAAGCATCAATATTTTGGATCAATACTGCAAATCGACAGCGTTTGTCACGCAAAGCTTCAGACTATGAAATACTACCATCAGGAGATCTTCTTTTCTATAATTCAACACAGCTATTCCCTGGCAACAATTATTCCCAACAAACCAATGATGAAACTGTCATTACCCAAGTAACCTGCAATGTTGTCAACCGTCATGGTCAAGATTCACAGACAACTTTTATCTATCCGATATCATAACCTTGATTATTGTATCGGTGGCATAAGGTTAGTATTGTTGTAGTATGTTAAGACTGTTCTCGTCCAAAGCAGAACGTGTAGTACGTTTGTACTCTCTACTACGTATGCAACTATAATAATGCATGGGAGTGCAAGGAAAATAAGTGAGTGGCAACATAAAACCCCATTTTCTAGAGTACTGTTTATGTTGTGGAAACATGAAATTATGTTAATTTTCCTCACATCTACGATTGTTATTTTATTGTCAAACATGTGCTGTATGGTGGTGAGCACGCAGCAAAAATTGTAATCAAATGTAACTCTATTTCGGAAGAATAAAAAAATTTTCCTGCTTTCAAATTTTCGATTTCAATCTATACAACAGTAATCCTATTAGTCACGATAGAAACCAGTATGCTGCTCTTTTGACCAAAAAAGATCGTTTTCCACCGCAATATGCATATAACTTTACTTTTAGACGAGCAAAAAACATTTAAATAATTGTAAAGCAGTTTCATCGGATCATTCGCTAGTTATCTGCTTTCATATCTGATATATATATATATGCATGTTTATTTAATATCGACTTACAATCATACATCGTACAACCATAGAGATCGTCTTCATACTAATCAGTATAAGCTGTGCAACATTGAGAATTGTAAAATGATGTATAAGTCGGATCATTTTGTTACATGGTTTTCCTTTCTATTTTATATAACTTCTTTTTTGGCTGGTACCCTCGAAGTGAATGCAAGTGTTGTTGTTGATAGTTCTACCACTACCACTACCACCAACACCACACCCACTGCTTGGGCTATTACTGGTAAAAGTTTATCAGCTTCATTGGAAAATGGTGGATCTACTAGACCTGAATCGAATGTATCCTCACTACCAACGCATGAGGCTAAAAACAACAAACATTTCCTAGAATGGGTGGCTATACCAAAAAAAAGTTATCACGTTAACCTGTTCTCACATGTATCCATTGTATGTAGTGCTGTTGGTAATCCTGCGCCAAGAGTTTACTGGTATCGTTACGATAAAAAAAAACCTGTCTACTATTCAAATGATGATAATGTTAGTCACTTCATCGACAATCAACGGTTAACTCAAAACCAACTCAGAAACTTGTCCAAGAGCAGTCAACAACAACAACAACCATCATTGAATCTCTACACTGCTAACCAGACTGGGTTTGTTATTGCTAAACTTTTCATACCAATAATCACTGGTGATGATACCGGTGAAGAATTTCATTGTATTGCTGACAATGGGTTAAAAAAAAAAGATCGCAAGGTTTACCTCAAAGTCTCCAATTCACCAGATCTTCTTACTGCATCACACGACTCTTATGTACAACAGGTTGCAAAACAACAGAGGTTAGCTGAAGTCTACAATAAACCAAAAATAGTATCATGGACAATGAACAGCACAGGTGTTATCGGTAATGATGCTCTATTACGATGTAGACATAATTTTGTAGGAGGAACAGTTGTCAATTGGAGAGACCATAACAATGTTGAAGTAGAAAACTTTAATAGATTTATTAAACTACCCTCGGGGGATTTACTCATTCGTAATGTAAGCCTACTAGACATTGGTTCGTATAAATGTTCAGCAACCAATGGTTACGGATGGTCAACTGTTGAATCATTCTTGTATCCTGTTTTCAGCAGCAGCAGCAGCAGCAGTAGTAGTAGTAGTAGTAGTAGTAGTAGTAGTAGCAACAGCAGCAGCAGCGGTAGCCGCAATAACAATCAGAGCAATTGTTTTGCATCAATTAAGCATGCTGGCATCATCTGTCAACCATCATCATCATCATCATCATTCAACAATCATTTGAGAATCTGTATTCACAATTTTTTCCATACAAATTAAATTTAAATCAACTTTACATATCATCTACATGTATATGTGTTTGTATTTTTTTTGCACTCAACAATTAATTCTGTCTTTAGTAATGCTTCTCTTATGTACATTGTCGCGTGATTTTTACACGTTTTTACCTAACCGAACATAATGTCACTAGCTTCTGATCAATATACAAATTATTCTCATTCTCTGAACAATAGAATATACATTTGTGATAGAATCATTGGCTTTACATAGATTGGATAGAGGCAAGTTACGTCACGTTAGGTTGCCGTGCCTCGAGACATTTTATTGATTTGGTCGTTTAATTTTTTGCATAACATTTCCACACAAACTCAGAGTCGGAAAAAAATACAGATAAAGCAAAAAGAGTGCAAGAAATTGTGAAAGAAAGCAAATTTAGAGATAAACAGAAAAAAGTTATGGGTCATGATAACAAATGTCAAAAAATTACACGTAAATATTGTGGTACATTGGATACAGGAGTGTCTCTATGCTACTGATTCCATTGTTTGTCGTAAGGATACATCGATAACTTCCATAATCAGCAAGCTTAACATTTTTAATCAATAAGTCTCCGGTCGGTAACTGGACAAAACGGTTAAATTTTTGTAACGAAATTCCATCTTCATCTTTCCAAGTCAATGTGTAAGTGGGTTGTCTTTGATGTTTATCTTGGTAAGGTTCAAAAATTCTACATCTCAATATTGCAGCATACCCTATACGACCAATTGTAACCCGTGTCCATGATTTGATGTAGAACAATTTGGTATCATTTATAAGTATCTTTGCTATATCAACACTAGCATTGTTTGCATTGGAAGCATTATTTGCGTATGAAAGCTCAAAATCATTCACCGATACTGAACTTGTACCTCTATTACCTGCTCCTGCTGCTCCTGCTGCTGCTGATGATGATGATGATGATGATTTTGTCGTTGAAGTTGTTGTTGTTGTTGTTGTTGTTGGTGATGGTAGTGGTTGTGTCGGTAATGGTGTTGATTTACTAGTTATACCATTATTGGTTTGCGGTAAAATATCAAGTATTATTTTACGTTGCATTTGTGAGTATCCATTGTTTGCAATACAAATGTAGTGTACTCTTATAGGTGTACCTTGATGATGATGATGATGTAATACCGAACTATTAGATGTAATCAACAATCTAGCACGTACACTAGCTGTTAAGTTTGTTACTCCTAAACCAAAAGTTGACAAAATAGTTGCTTCGTCAGTATTCACTTCTCTGTTATCCCCATCCTTACGATGCTCGCTATTGTTCGATGACCCGAAATTTGTAATGTTATTATGATTATGTTTATTGTTACTTCTACTACTATTCATACTACTAGCACTACTATGATATTCATCATCATCATCATCATCATCATCATCTTCAGTATCAGAATAACTGATGGTACTCCAAGCAACTGCTGGTGTAGGATAACCAGTAGCAGCACAATCGAGAACAATATTTTGTCCGTATGCTAAAGTTGTCCTGTTTGGTGGTGGTTGTCCTTCCCATCGTAAAAATGATTGATCACCAAGAATTGTAGGTGGATCTACCCAAGGACAAATTTTTTTCCCAAAGAAACTGTTAGAAGCCTGTATAAATATTTGTTGTTGATGATACGTTATACCATATAATGATAACATCATCAGCACCATTAGTGCATTCTGACACATTATTTGTAACATGGACATGTTAACTTTTGTTGTTTTTGTTGTTGTTGTTGTTCAGATGCCTAACAGGAACACAAGTGATATGTCACGAAAAAAATAACAAAATGATCTTCAGTCAAGTATCCAGTTTACTATTGATTACACTTAAATATATATGTACTATTATATGTATATATATTATTTATGTTTTTCTACGCATTGTCTAGTTATAATTTAATTATTTAATAATTTTCAAGCAAGTTTCAGTAGTTTTCAAGCTACTACAGTGTATAACTTATTACACAGATTGGTATTGCATGGATGCATGCATGCATTCATGTATGTTCATCATGGAACAAGCAACAGTAAAGTTCGTACCCCGTCACTACCATATTGATTACTTGTGATACATTGAAAGTAACCCATATCGTTCCAGTTTACAGTTTTTATGAACAAATCTCCTGATGCAAGTTTTTCATATGAAGCAAAGTTTTCTTTGTTTTCTCCTAATCGAACACCAAGTGAATCAACCCAATAGTGATCAGTGATTGTTAGGTTACTGGTTCCCTTTCCCTTCCCTTGTATCCTGCTAATCTTTTTGAGGTTATTGATACCACCACCACCAGTAGTACTGCTCATAGGTGTGTCACTACTTCGACATCGAAGAACCGTACTATAGCCTACTTTAGCTGAAGCAATCTCTGTCCATGAGTTAATTCTTGGTTTGACCAACAGTGTACTTTCCAAATCAGAAATTGAATATCGTTCATACCTGCTAGGTGTACCATGTAGCTTACCTTTCCCTGTTGTCACAAGTGCTGAAGGGGAAACCGGTTCAATTTTTACCTCGAGTTCTATTTGATCGAGTCCATTGTCAATGAGACAAGAGTAATATTTATGTGTATCCCATGTAACAACAGGTATAACCAGTCTAGCTGTGTTTAAACTTGAAACATCTCCAAGCTGTGAGTAAGGAGCATCAAGTATATATTGTCTAGCTAACTCGTCATAATCAGTTTTTGATCTCTCACGTACATAGTCTAAATTTTTCAACCAACGTACCCTCGGTGCTGGAGATCCCAACGCAGAGCATGACAGCTCAAAAGTTGATCCAATAATGGCCTTGTAAAATTCAGCTGGTTTTTCGATCCAATCTAAATAAGGTCGAATATTGTACGGCCAACAGTTTGGTGTTCTCTCTGCATGTTTTCGTACTGTAAAAACACTAAATTGAGAAGACGACTTCACCAATATACCAGTAAGTACAACAAGGATAACAACACCTAAATTACAAACCCTGAACATTGAACAGCACATCATCACACCCAATTCCTAATTTCTAAAATCTAAACATTGAACATTCCTTTATACAGCAATAGAAAGCAAAACAACAAGCACAAATTAGACTTTTTTGTCGTATATTGTCTTTAATCTTTCTATTCTTATTCAGAAAATAGGCAATACGCTCATCTGGCTATTTTGACTCCGATTTTAGCCTCATACAACTAGTACAAACTAGTAATTACTATTCAATTGTTTCCATTGAAATTGTCATTGTGATTGTTAAAGGTGGAGCCAAACAAACTAATGCACTATCAATTGATGAATTGATTTTATCTGCATTTAGTTATTTACATACTACAGCTACGCATTTTCCCATCCGCCGTACACACACAACAACAGTTGTGAGTGACAAAAGTTTGATTGCCTAATTGTGAACCGCCTTTCTTTTTCTTCATAAGTGAGGTAAAGTTCGTGGATCTACATTGGAAACCTTACAGAACATACAAGATGATAACTTCATAGTTAGTTTGGTGCTAACTTTGATGGTACTAATATGTATCTTCTGGTAACCCATTTGTAGTCAATGGATATATCTTGATCCTAAAACACAGGACAACATTGATGCGCTTACCAAACGACACAGGACAACCATTCAAAAAACACACTACTTACACACTGTTGCACAATCAATGATGCATGAAAGGTATGTTCTGTAGTCAACAAATTGTATCTTCACATTATTGCAATTTGCGACATCAACAATTTTGAACGATCTTGGTGTAATAATGATTCTCAATTCATCAGATATGTAACAACTATATTTTAGTCTGAAATCATCAAATTGTATCTTAAAAACACTTCACGCATAGTAATTGTAGTACCAACAATCCTTTTTCCTAAAAATCAAAATGATGGGTACGTAAGAGAAGAAGAGTAAGAGACTTTCAAAAGAAAGACTCACAAAGAAAGAGAACCCAAAAAAGAAAGAGACAACAGAAAGAGAACTGATACTTCCATGCATTTATGCAAGTATACTTGAATTGGGTAGATTACAATTTCAGAACAAAATCATCAAATTTTATTCAAAAATACAGTACAGATAGTAAAGGTTTCGTTTTCCTTCCAGCCACCAATCCTTTTCCTAAAAAATCAGATGGGTACGTAAGAAGAAGAGTAGAGACTTTCAAAGAAAGACTCACAAGAAAAGAACCCAAAAAAGAAAGAGACAACAGAAAGAGAACTGATACTTCCATGCATTTATGCAAGTATACTTGAATTGGGTAGATTACAATTTCAGAACAAAATCATCAAATTTTATTCAAAAATACAGTACAGATAGTAAAGGTTTCGTTTTCCTTCCAGCCACCAATCCTTTTTCCTAAAAATCAAAATGATGGGTACGTAAGAGAAGAAGAGTAAGAGACTTTCAAAAGAAAGACTCACAAAGAAAGAGAACCCAAAAAAGAAAGAGACAACAGAAAGAGAACTGATACTTTCATACATTGACATTGATATGTTTGTACATGTGTAAGTATACAGTGAATAGAGCCGATGACAATTTCAGAACAAAATCATCAACAATATAATATATAATAAATATAATATAATATATATAATATATATATAATATAATATAATATATAATATATACTATATATATAATATATACTATATATATAATATATACTATATATATAATATATACTATATATATAATATATACTATATATATAATATATACTATATATATAATATATACTATATATATAATATATACTATATATATAATTTATAATATATTTATAATTCATAAATAATTTTTTTTAATGTAATATAATATGAAAAATGATTGATGCCAGTTTTCAACTGAATTCCATCCAACCTACTCATGAGTGTTGATGTGATTTGGTTAAAAGATATTGTGTAGATAGTAATTGTTTCGTTTTCCTTCTAGTCACCAATCCTTTCCCCTAAAAATTAAAATGATGGGTACGTAAGAGAAGAAGAGTAAAAGACTTTCAAAAAAAGACTCACAAAGACAGAGAATCCAATAAAGAAAGACTCACAAAGAAAGAGAACTGATACTTCCATACATTGACATTGATATGTTTGTACATGTGTAAGTATACGGTGATTAATATATATAATATAATATATAATATATATAATATAATATATGATATAATATATAATATATATAATATAATATAATATAATATATATAATATATATAATATATAATATATATAATATAATATAATATATATATATAATATATAATATAATATAATATAATATATATAATATATATATATAATATAATATATATAATATATATAATATAATATAATATATATAATATATACAACAACGAAAAATGAGATGAGAACAAAAATGCTATCAATTGCGCATAAAGTGATAATTTTTTTCTAATTGTGATTACATTTTCGGTTACGCTTTATTTAAATCAATTCAATTTTTCTTTTAATTTTGATTAATTTATTTTTTTATGCGCAATTGATATAATTTCTGCTCGTATCTCATTTTTTGTGGCTGTATATTACAATATATATGGTATATAATATATATATAATATATACTATATATATAATTTATAATATATTTATAATTCTTAAATAATTTTTTTAATGTAATATAATATGAAAAACGATTGATGCCAGTTTTCAACTAAATTGGGTACGTAAGAGAAGAAGAGTGAGACCCTCAAAAAGAAAGACCCACAGAGAAAGAGACCATCAAAAAGAAAGACCCACAGAGAAAGAGACCATCAAAAAGAAAGACCCACAGAGAAAGAGATAATCATAAAGAAAGAGACAACAGAAAGAGAATTGATACTTCCATGCATTTATGCAAGTATACTTGAACGGGTTAGATTACAATTTCAGAACAAAATCATCAAGGTGTATCCAAAAATAAAGTACGGATAGTAATTGTTTCGTTTTCCTTCCAGCCACCAATTTTTTTTCCTTAAAAATAAAATGATGGGTACGTAAGAGAAGAAGAGTAAGAGACTTCCAAAAGAAAGACTAACGAATGCAGAGTGTACAAAGGTATTAATAGATTAATTTGACACAATTTGCGAGTGAGCAATTGAAATAAAAACGTCAAAAAATTCTTTTTTACATCCAGTTTCAAAATGGGCTCTTGTAAAGCTTGTGATTTGGTTGGTGGTCAAAGTGATCTAACTCAATATATCATCGATTATTATGAAAGTATTGGTTATCAAACTTGTTACTCTGAAAAGTATAGGACTCCATTGAAGCGAGCGGAATCATATGTCAATTGGCCTAAACCAGAATTAGATATAGAAAAGTTGGTAGATGCTGGATTCTTTTACAGAGGTGTAAGAGATTTAGTATCATGTTTTCATTGTGGTCTCAACATACATGAATGGCAATCAGATGACGATCCATTAATTGAACACTTGAAGTTTAACGCCAGATGTGAATATCTATATGTAAAATGTGGTACAATGTTCCTGGCTAACAAGACATACGGTTATGACCTACAAGGAGAAATTCCACTAGCTGAACTATCAAGAACTGGAATTGGTCGATACAACTGTAAAGTTTGTAAAGAGATGGAAGTTGGATGTACCTTCTATCCATGTGAACATGCAGTAGCATGTACAAACTGTACTGTCAAGCTCTCAAAATGTCCGATATGTAATCGCCGAATCAGAAAAGTATTAAGGTTTATCTTCACTGATTAACCTTTGATTAAATGAGGATGGCTCTTTGTTAAAACATTACAGTTAATCCTTTGTTGTCATGTCGTTTACATTGAGCTAAGCGCTTTTTCGAGTAAATTAAATTTACTAAATTTCACTACCCGACATTATCAATTAAATGCTCAAAAATCAGGTTTCAGGTGAGGATTAAACGACTGTTGATAGATGTATGTTATTTGACTGATTCGAGTGTAATTATTGTGACAAGAATTGTGAAAACTGTGTAACTTCTTTTAATTTATTGTAGGGATTTTGTTAACAATTTTCCACCAACAATTGAATACACAGGTTTGCAAGTTGTCAACATCATGGCTCATTCAAGGTTATCAAGTGATTAATCAGTTCTTTAGAAGAAGAAATTCCCAATGTATCCATATGAGCCCGAGTTATTCCCAGGAACACAAAGGATCAAAGTGGATGATTACAAAAGTGTGTTTTCAAACATGGAGAATAACAGTAACTGGTAAAATAATCATGAATCAATCTAGGATATGGATGAGTATGTGATACCTTGTGTGTTTTTACTTGTACTGGCATATTTTTATATTAAATATTATACAGATAATTTTAAATACATATACGCAAATATTTACTGTTTGTAGGTCCATGTACATACTCGATGATAGGGAGGTAAAGTTAAGAGCATAAGAACCTTATCTCCTAACATGTTATTGTTTTTATTGTACTTCATATTACTACTACTACTACTACTACTACTACTACTACTACTACTACTACTACTACTACTACTACTACTACTACTACTAATACTAATACTACTAATACTTTTAATGAAACAAGTTTTGCTCTTATTACAGAATACTGATTAAAGCTGCATGACACCTAAATGATAAACTAAAAAACATCTGATAAGTTGGATTTTTATATTATGTCTTTATGTTCTATGAGGAAATTTTGACATACATCATATTTCAACCTCAAAAAATACTCATTTATTTGGGTCATACGACGATCAGATATCACTATAATCTCTCCTACTACTACTACTACTACTACTATTACATCTACTACTACTACAACTACAGCCCTATTCCCCTTTTATAGTGATTTTTCTAGAATAAAATTTTGGATTGTGCTTGTACAATATAACTTTTTTTTTTGCACCAAAGATCCTTGTTTTTACGTATAAACCATTATGTGATGGCAATCTTGGTGAGAAAGACAACGTAAGATAACAACACATAAAGGAACAATATCAAACCCTAAAGTTTCTTTCCTTGACAGAAACAAATGTGAGCCACCTAAACATAATTCATTCTTTCCCTTATGCGTTGCAGATGATTGCATACATTGTGGGAACCTGAAATATGTACAGATGATTGCATATGCGATGACGATGTTATTGCAAAAACAGAATAAAAAAAGTTAACAAGTAATTGCATATTTACAGCCCATTTAGTTGAAAAAGAAAATCAAAAATATCCATAAGTCATTGGGTATTATCAGATAATTGCAGAAAAAGCAAACCATGAATATGCACAGATGATTGCATACATTTAGAAACCTTAAATATGCACAGATGATTGCATATTTACAGTCAATTCAATTGAAAGGAGAGTCAAAAATATGACAGATGATTGCATACAATTAGGAACCTTAAATATGCACAGATGATTTATACACAGTCAATTTAATTGAAAGGAGAGTCAAAAATATGCGCAGATGATTGCATATTCAATCAATTTAATCAAAAAGTCAAAAATATACAGATGATTGCATATTTCAGTCAATTTAATCAAGGAAGTCAAAAATATGCAAAAATCATTGCATATTTCAAGTCAATTTATTAAAAAGTCAAAAATATGCAAAAATGATTGCATATTTCGTCAATTTAATGAAGAGGAGTCAAAAATATGCACAGATGATTGCATATTTCAAGTCAATTTTAATCAAAAAAGGAAGTCAAAAATATGCACAGATGATTGCATATTTCAAGTCAATTTAATTAAAAAAAGGAAGTCAAAAATATGCAAAAATCATTGCATATTTGCAGCAAATTGCATACAGAAAGAGAGTCAAAAATATGCACAGATGATTGCATATTTGCAGCCAATTGCATACAGAAAGAGAGTCAAAAATATGCACAGATGATTGCATATTTCAAGTCAATTTTAATCAAAAAAGGAAGTCAAAAATATGCAAAAATCATTGCATATTTGCAGCCAATTGCATACAGAAAGAGAGTAAAAAATATGCACAGATGATTGCATATTTGCAATCAATGCATACAGAAGAGAGTAAAAATATGCACAGATGATTGCATATTTGCAGCAAATTACATACAGAGTCAAAAATATGCAGATGATTGCATATTTCAAGTCAATTTAATTAAAAAAAGAAAGTCAAAAATATGCACAGATGATTGCATATTTGCAGCAAATTGCATACAGAGAGAGGATCAAAAATATGCACAGATGATTGCATATTTGCAACGAATTGCATACAGAAAGAGGATCAAAAATATGCACAGATGATTGCATATTTCAAGTCAATTTAATTAAAAAAAGGAAGTCAAAAATATGCACAGATGATTGCATATTTGCAGCAAATTGCATACAGAAAGAGAGTCAAAAATATGCACAGATGATTGCATATTTCAACAATTACATAAAGAAAGTAAAATATACAGATGATTGCATATTTGCAACAAATTACATACAGAAGAGGATCAAAAATATGCACAGATGATTGCATATTTCAAGTCAATTTAATTAAAGGAAGTCAAAAATATGCACAGATGATTGCATATTTCAAGTCAATTTAATTAGAAAAAGGAAGTCAAAAATATGCACAGATGATTGCATATTTCAAGTCAATTTAATTAAAAAAAGGAAGTCAAAATATGCACAGATGATTGCATATTTGCAACAAATTGCATACAGAAAGAGGATCAAAAATATGCACAGATGATTGCATATTTCAAGTCAATTTAATTAAAAAGGAAGTCAAAAATATGCACAGATGATTGCATATTTGCAACAAATTGCATACAGAGAGTCAAAAATATGCACAGATGATTGCATATTTCAAGTCAATTTAATTAGAAAAAGGAAGTCAAAAATATGCACAGATGATTGCATATTTGCGTAATTACATAAAGAAGATCAAAATATGCACAGATGATTGCATATTTCAAGTCAATTTAATTAAAAAAGTCAAAAATATGCACAGATGATTGCATATTTCAAGTCAATTTAATTAAAAAAAGGAAGTCAAAAATATGCACAGATGATTGCATATTTGCAGCAAATTGCATACAGAGAGATGATCAAAAATATGCACAGATGATTGCATATTTCAAGTCAATTTAATTAAAAAAAGGAAGTCAAAAATATGCACAGATGATTGCATATTTGCAGCAAATTGCATACAGAGATGATCAAAATATGCACAGATGATTGCATATTTCAAGTCAATTAATTAAAAAGTCAAAAATATACAGATGATTGCATATTTGCAGCCAATGCATACAAAGAGAGTCAAAATATGCACAGATGATTGCATATTTCAGTCAATTCAATACAAAGAAAGTCAAAATATGCACAGATGATTGCATATTTGCAGCAAATTGCATACAGAAGATCAAAATATGCACAGATGATTGCATATTTCAAGTCAATTAATTAAAAGGTCAAAAATATACAGATGATTGCATATTTCAAGTCAATTAATTAAAGAAGTCAAAAATATGCACAGATGATTGCATATTTGCAACAAATTGCATATAGAAAGAGAGTCAAAAATATGCACAGATGATTGCATATTTGTAGACAATTTTAATTAAAAAAGGAAGTCAAAAATATGCACAGCTGATTGCATATTTGCAGTCAATTTAATTACAAAAAGAAAGTCAAAAATATGCACAAGTCATTGCATATTTGTAAAGTCATCTTCGATATACAATTGCAATATACATTAAAAAGTCAGAAAATGTCCGATTTTGTTCGATTTTTCATCTATGGATCACAATATGCATTTCGATATTTTGCATATTTGACACATCGATGGCAAATTATTCAATCTCATCCTCAAAAATCAGAGTGTCTGGTTGATTATCAATGCC